CACACACACACATACTTTTTGCGACCGTCTTGGTCCATTTTGAGTTTTAAAATGCTTGCTTGTTTGTTTTTTGATTGAGTTTATTACCTTACAAGACTGAAGTACGTCATGCTGATGGCAGGCCCTAGTCTAAAATGGATTTGTCAAACAAAAGGAAAAAAGTAAGGGAAAAAAAGAATGAGTACCAACATTATATAACATTACGCTGCTCAGATATTAGAGTGCTGTATTTTTTCCTTTCATAAGAAAGATAGTGTGTCCTTTAAGTGAGTGTGTTTTGTTTTGCGGGAGGGGGGGGGGTGAAAGAGAACTAGAGATCTGGAAAATGGAGAGGGGGCAGCTCTAGCTCTGGCTAAAATTGTGACATGCTGAATTACAAATACATGTATATAATTTCGTTTTGAATGTTCTTTATCTGTGGTGGCATACTGCAGATTTGACTGTGCCTTTGCTTATGAAAAAATTACTGCTGTGTGAAAAATAAAACTAATAGCTACCTTTTAAAAATGAGTTATGGGTCATTGCCTTAAAATATGTCTCGTAGGGTAGTTCGTTACCTGAGTACTGGTTTAAGAGCACATCAAGATCGGATCCAACTATTTCCTGTCCCTTCCTTGTAAGATGTGGCCAGTGTTCTCTTTCAAAAGAATGGCGTGAGAATGACAACATAGTCATACCCATGATCCATTAGTCAATATTCAGAAACTCCAAATCAGAGGCTTCACTTACAATGATGCGTCAGCGAGTAATTGATATAATATTATTCAGTGTTCTACGAATGAGAATGCATTTTTCAATAACTGCAATTTTGTTCAAGAAAAACCTCCAGATGCTGACCTTTTCTTTAAACACACATTTACATTAGCCTTTTAAGGTGCAGTCCCTAGTCACCTCTCACGGGTTGGCTGGTCAACGACAGGCATCTTTTGTGTTTTGCTTTCTTTTTTCAAAATCTATCAGCTGCACTCTGTTGTAGTATGTACATGACACGGTTGTTTCAGAAGTCTCAGACCTAGAGGTATGTGGTATAATGTCTGGGCTTTTAGTTAGCCATTGTAAGCTGAAGATGTAAGATCAGTTCCAGTACCCTGCTATGGGGAAGTTATTGTGTAGAATGCGAAATATACAGATTTTAATACTTAAAAACAACAATAATAATAATAATAATAACAACAACAACAACAACAACAACAACGACAACGACACCACCAACGACAACAGCAATAATAATAATAGTAATAATAATAATAATACTACTACACTGTAATAATAATAATAATAAATAATAATATAGAAGAAAGGCGGAAAGAGAGAGAGGGGGAGAGAGAGCTAGAGAGAGCGAGAGAGAGAGATAGAGAGAGAGAGAGAGAGAGAGAGGGGGGGAGAGAGAGAGAGAGAGAGAGAGAGCGTGTGTTCAAATAGACTGCCGTCAACAAAAGCCCTTGAATATAATAGTTAAAAAGAACACAGAGAAGAGATGGCCAAGTGGCAATGCCTAGTGACGCTAAGAGATGATTTAAGATGTCTGACAACATGAGAACTGTTGTCCAAGGTACTCTTGTTGACAAGAACCCGAACTTTTTCATTGGCGTGATCACTAGAGAACTTAGAGTGCCTTTCAATGTAAGCTTGACAGCCATCAGCTAAATTCTTGTTGGGCTCCCTGTTTTTTTTAAAGAAAAAGCTAGAAGACACAGACACAACTGCTGAAAGAAAAACCCACCAGGGTCCTGCGACAGGCAAATACAACATGGCCCATGCATCATGCACAAGCCGATACATTCATCTGCACCGGTGAAGCAGACAAAAACTTCTGGGGGGAACGAATCTGTACTGAAAAGACCTCGCCGGGGGAGAGCGTGTCGTCCATGGCCAGCGTAGAACTAATTTTACAGGGACATTCGCTGTGAGAAATGTTGGTGGCCTCATAATTTGCAATGAACTTCCTGAAGGAAGAATGACAGATGACAGCTTCAGTGTACTCATAAAGAAATAAATGTGCAGAACAAATCCTTCTTTGGATGCATTTTTCGGTAGAGATAATGCACCTGCAAGCAATTGCCTTCAAATTTTGGCCTCCAGCATCTGTATTTATATCTGCCTCTTTTCTCCCCATTTCTCAGTATCTGCGAAAATGCATTTTGATTTACATACAAACTGAAGAAACAGTTTCCGAAATTCACCTCCATCTCCCGAATCAGGAGCGTGAAGAAATGACGATGATCTTTGCCAAAATCGAGGAACAAAAGGCTAATGCGTTTACTACTCCAGAGAGGCAAGCTGTTTTAATGGTATGTACGCATAATATTTGCCACCATGTTTTTCCTTCTAAAGATAAAGACAAGACATGTTCATGTATCTTCAAGTTTTCCAACATTTCATGAGGTGATTCGGTCAAGGGAATGAGGTTTTTTTTTCTTTTCTGTTTTTCTGTTTTCTTTTTATTTGGGTGGGGGGGGGGGTACTTCTTTGTTGCTGTCATTTACCCACCACTGTCATCAACGATACTAATGGAGAAGCTCTGCACGAAGAGAAAGAAATAATAAAAAGATGGGAAGAATATTTTCAAGAACTACTAAACCCATCAGGAGTACAGGCACAAAACACACAGTGCCCATTCACCGCCAACTACCCTGAGCACTCAGAACCTACCATCCTGGAGAGTGAAGTAAGAGAAGCACTGAAAACTAGTCCAAAGAACAAGGCAGCTGGAGACGATGACATCACAACCGAAGCCATCCTTGCATGCGGCGAAACCGGAATACATTGGCTTACAATCATCTTTCAAAAAGCATGGAAAGAAAGAAAAGTGCCAGCAGACTGGCAAAATGCGATAGTGGTGCCAATATGGAAGAAAAAGGGCAGCAAGAAAGACTGCAACACCTATAGAGGCATATCTCTTCTCAGCCATGTGGGGAAAATGTATGCAAAAATCCTAGAGCGACGTACTCGCGCAAAAACCGAACATCTTCTCAGTGACGCCCAATTTGGCTTTAGAAAAGGAAGAGGGTGCACTGATGCAATCTTCGCACTCCGACAACTGTGTGAGAGGGCTTTGGAATACGACAAAGATCTCCACCTCGTATTTGTGGATCAAGAAAAAGCCTTTGATCGAGTAAATAGAAACAAGCTATGGAAGATCTTAGAGCAGTACGACATCAAGGGACAACTGCTAGACAACATCAGGGCTATCTATGCCAACAGCAGAAGCGCTGTCCGAACTACCAGTGGAACATCGGACTGGTTTCCAGTAACATCCGGAGTGAGACAGGGCTGCAATCTCTCCCCTCTGCTCTTCGTGATCTACATGGACCAGATAACAAAAGAGGCCAATCCAGACCCAGAGGCACTCAACGAACTCATGTTTGCAGATGACCTGGCAATGATTAACAACAAGACTCAGCTACAGGAGCATATAAACCAACTAAATGCGAGCTGCGAAAAATATGACATGAAGATCAGTACTAGCAAGACCGAAGTCATGACAATTAGCAGGAGACCAGGTAAAGTGGATATCAACATCAATGGATCCCAACTAAAACAAAGCAGAGAATTCAAATACTTGGGCAGCATTTTCACAGAAAATGGAAAATTAGATCGAGAGATAGAGACTAGATGCCAGAGAGCCAACGCAGTCAGCTATCAACTGGGCCCTCTCCTGAAACATCCCAATATCCCCATGAGCACCAAGGCGAAGCTCATCAACGCCATTTTCCTTCCAACGCTCACATATCAGTGCCAGACATGGACTCTAACAAAAGCCCCAGAGAGGAACTTAAGAAGAGCAGTCAACAAAACAAGAAGAGACAAAATTAAAAATGAAGTCACAAGGGACACCGTGGGAGCAACACCAGTCCTACCACACATTGAAAAACAAAAGGTCAAGTGGTTCGGACACCTCACGCGGACGCCCTCAAACCATCCAGCTCTGAGAGCATACAACATTAAATATTCTGGATGGAGAGCCAGAGGAAGACCAAGGCGACGATGGAGTGAATCTGTGGCAGACACCCTTAAAGATCATGGGATGTCCCTCCTACAGGCCACACGACTTGCTGCAGACAGACACCTGTGTCTCCCCGCGACACCCCAGGGTACAAGCGGAAGAAAAAAGTAAAGTAAGTATTTGCAACAGCAAGGCAAGTAGCTTGCTGTTTTAAATATGTTCCTTCCGTTGATTCATTCGTCCAGTAGCTTGCTGTTTTAAATATGTTCCTTTCGTTGATTCATTCGTCCAGTAGCTTGCTGTTTTAAATATGTTCCTTCCGTTGATTCATTCGTCCAGTAGCTTGCTGTTTTAAATATGTTCCTTTCGTTGATTCATTCGTCCAGTGTCTCAAGAGTTTTGCGGCACTTGCAAAACAAAGGTCATATAAATGCTGAAGATTAGAGATGTTACAAGAGAGTAACAATCAGAGAAAGGAAGGAGGAGAGACAAGAGCGATAGATGTTTGATAGGAAAGAAGTAGAAAATCATACCAG